TGTAATTATACAGGTCACAAAAAATATTTTAAAAACTTTTCATTTGATATGTGTTAACTTTAAATTACCTCTGTTTTTGTGATGCGGTGCTTCGCTAGTTTCACAACAGCGAAGTTGCCTTTGCCGATTGTCCGTTCTATATCATAAAATCCCACCCGGACCTGACCCTTGGACCGTTCAGCCATGACCATGGTTTTTCTGTACAGGCTATCTGTTACTAAATTTCCAGAGAAAAACACAAAATATGAATCGTTTTCCTGCCTTTTTTCTTCTTTCCGACATTGTCCAAATCTACATGCTTTGAGTTCTGGCTGTGACGTCAACATTTACGACAGTCGACATGTAAAGCTGAACACAAAACTTTAGTTTAGTTTCGTATCAGCTGGTTGCTATGGCTGACACGCGCTCTGACGTAATCTGACGCACTTGGCAGGGAAATATATGCAGCTTTCAATCATCACTGAATCGTTCTTATATATTAACAACCCCGGCTCCTGCAAGAAAAATCAATTAGCTTTACTTTAAATTATCCATTAAAGGCATTGGAAAAGAAAGCATCTGCTAAAACACTCTTGTTTTAAGATCTTTCAAAGAACATTAAACGGCGAACCTGATTGATCTGCACGAGATGTACAGCATTCAATAGATTATTTGTGGTTGTGCTGACGTAAAGATTGTGGTGGACCTGATACCAGTACAGTCATAGTACTTCGAATTTTGAAATATCGACAGCATTTTTGCACACGAATTCGTTAAGAAAATGCTTGCCGTGTCACAACTAATACGACAAATAATGTCAAGTATGTCGTCTTGGCATATTACACATATTATAGATAGCTGAAGTTGACTAGAAAGAGGAAAGAAATATAAGATGACTTGGACGGGAATAAGGAATAAATTTGTATTCAACAGCCATGATTAGCAGAGGACGCAAGTTGCTAGCTGTCTTATTTGTTGTTGTTGTTTTTTTTTTAATCTTGACTCGATTAAGAGGATCTCAAATAAAATTAAATGCACACACAGACACACACACACACACACACACACACACACACACACACACACAAAAGTAAATCTGAGACAGGTGATTACTAGATAGAGGATGCCTTTCGGTGTAGGGGGAAGGTTTGGTATCTCTTTGGTGGTTTGTTTTGAAAAGAAGAAAAGCGCAAAGCACAAACTTTTCTATCTGCTGTCCATTTATTATTATAAGGTAACAAGTTGCATGTGCCGTATATGTCCTAAGTGGATAGAGCGTCCGCATCAGATGCGAGAGGTCGCGGTTTCGAACCCCGGCCGAGTCATACATAAGACTTATAAAAATGGTACTAACTGCTGCCTCGTTTGGCGCTCAGCATTTAAGATGTTAGTGTTAAGGCTGGTCTTCCTGGCGTCGGGATAGTGTGACTGGGTGGGACATGATACCCATGTCTGTAGAATGACTCTCCAGTGTAGACATCACTATAAACTGCCACACTGCAGACATCGTAGCGACATGACTGCAATTGTTACATCTACGTTAAAAACCAACACTAACACACACACACACACACACACATACGCACATATAAACACACAAACACATACAAACACGCGCGCACACACACATTGAAACGAAATATTTGGCAGTAAAATCCTGAATGGAAATCCTTTAGATCACTATTGAAAATCATATGATCGGTGTCATTAGAACACGAGAGAGAATCGACCGTCGGACACTGTGTGTGTGTGTGTGTGTGTGTGTGTGTGTGTGTGTGTGTGTGTGTGAGAGAGAGAGAGAGAGAGAGAGAGAGAGAGAAATTAATGAAAAAAAACAAGTCTATTATATATTTTACTACCTAAATATTTGAAAGACAACTAAATGCATAACGAATGTATTCAAGAGATAACAAAATTATTGGTAAAAACCGATGCCCCTTAGGGGTTGAGGCCCTAGCCATATGTCCCACCCAATTTATGTGGGTATGGGTGGTTGAGTGTATCAAATTAGTACCATGATTAACATAATTTATTAGTCACAGAATATATTAAAAGGGAGTTATGGGGTGCGAGTATCAGACTCAGTGTGGGTGAGAAAGCTTGCCAGTAAATTCCCGTGGGTGAGAAAGCTTCCCGTGGGTACGACAACAACGATAGATTGAGAAAGGGAAACATACCATATTGTCCTGTTTATTAAAACTTGAATGAGAATTAAATAACAATGGTCGATGTTGTATAAATGTTTGTCGGACAATCGGATGACGTAGAGCACTTTGAGATAAACAAGCTTTAACCCAAAAAGTCCGGATTGCAGTTCAAATAAAACGGTGCCAGAAAGAAGATGTAAACATAAGGCAGCGAATATCTGGCTAAGTTAAAACCGGCTAATCGTGAATCGAGTATAATTTTATGATGGGATGTTGTCAATTGTATGACACGCTTGTTATTCTTAGTTAAACAAGCTTGTAACCTTCGATTATACATGTTCTTTGAATCTGTATGTACAGTATTCAAGCTACACAAGTCAGCTAACCTCCCTTCACCGTGCTGTACCTATTATTCGATTTCATCACGAGTCGCACGCCGGTCATTTGCAGTGAAATAAACATTTAATCGAGTATAGTTTATGTCACTGTGGTCCAAATCCAGATTTGTAACTTTTCAGGTGTTTGATTCTACTAGATCTGAACACTCCCCCACCCCACACAATATCCCTACCTTCCCCTGTCTATCTTATATCTTGTTGTCTAACACACGTTTGGCTCTTTATCTTTATAAAGAAAAAAATACACGGATATGCATGTGGTGAATGGTCTTTTAATCGTCTTCATTTGTTTATTTTTAACCTCCTTCTATATTTTAACAACATGAAGGAGGAGGGCAGAGTTTGGTGTATAATAATATAGTCGTGCTGTCCACAATATCGATTTGCCAGAAATATTGTAGCTCATTTGTTTATTTATATTTAAAGTTATGCTATATGAAAAAAGAAAACTCCATTTGGGAAAGTTTGTTATTGAAACTGTACAATAACTGTATTAACGTCGCTATTAAACAGCTGTTATGACTAAAGACAGGCTCGTAGTTGATTTCATGAATTTTTTAAGAATCGAAATTGATCTTAAAATACATTTTTAAAAATATTTCGTTGCCAATATAATGTGATCTATTGATGAAGTGTTAATACTTTATCACAAATATTTAAGACTTCTGTTTTATCAGAAATATTATCGTATACATAAATTATTTTACTCAAGATTGCCCTCAGTGCTAAGATATTCGTTGATTTATTTGCTTATTTTGACGAAATTAGAAACGACAACACAAAACTAGACCAAATCCAAAATGTATAGCGCATTACAGAAATACACTGACCAATTTGTAGCGAGATATAACAACACTACAATTAAATAGAAATAATCTTCTCTAGCAAAGAAGACGCGACAAAATCAAAGGTCGTGTTCCGGTACACGTATGATAACAACGACCTCTTCTTAATCGCGGAGTATCGCGCGGGATTACAGATCGCGGGCTTGGTGGTTTGCATCTTGGGAGAGGTTTAAAATATTTTATAATATAGATTACATCACAACATTAGAATCAAGACATGATTTGTGTACTTTCTTTCTCGTAATAGTACACATTGTACTACATTAAAAAAGTGATGAAATATAGAAGTTAAAATTTTAACATTTTTTTTCCTTCTTATTCTTATCTGCTTCCTACATCACAGGAAAGATGACAAACGACTGATATATGATACATACATTAGACTATGCTCTACGGTTATGAATTACGTCAAAAACCGGGACTGGTATGCATTTACAAAAGCACACTAAAGAAATGTTGGCATATTTCAGCTTATTTAATGTGGCAGAAATGTCTTTATATGTGGCACGAGAGGAAATAACACACTGCCTAAAGACATGGCTGATTACATGTGCAAGAGAAATAACTTAACTTTTCCAAAGTAAACTAACTTTGGTCATGTTTTAATTAAAAAAAAAAGGAAAATTGATTTTGCCAAAGTAATCATTACTAGCATCTGAAAGTGCAATAAATACCAAAAAACTTATCAAGATCATACTAGCAGCTGCCTCGTTTAGCGCTCATCATTAATAGGTTAGTGTCAGGGCTGGTCGGACTAGTGTCGGGATAATATGTCTTGATGACAAACATGTCTGCGGCATGATGCCACAATGCTAGACATCAATTTAAAACCGCCACACTGCAGACAGCTATTGTGATATGACTATAATTGTTTAAAGATGCGTTACAAATCCTAAAGTACACACACATGCACACGCACACGCACAGCAAATAAAGAGTCTAAAGGAAACGGATACGCTGCTAATTTAATTATTCGTCTTATCAATGTGTGCGTGTGCGCGCGCGCACGTGTGTGATTTGGATTTTTAATATAAATTTAAAAAAAAAAATCAGATATATCGCTACGATGTGTGCAGTGTTGCAGTTTATAGTGATGTCTAGTATTAGGGCATCATCAGTCCCATTATCCTAACACCAGGACAACCAGTTCCAACACTAACTTCTTAATGCTGAGACCAAGTAGGACAACTGTTAGTCTTGTTGCAAGCCAGGGGTTTATGCTTAACTGAGCGGTGTCAAAACCCTGGCGCGATTCCCGCTAGAAGTCATAAGTTAGCCCAAATTTTCAAAGACTTATATGCAACTTCAGTTGTAAATTGGAAGGCCTGACGTGTCCATTCTATACATAAATTTCTCTAAATCTATGGTTTCAAGGCACATCACGCTAGGACAACTGGATCGCATTTGCCACCACTACTCATTCACCATGGAATCATGCAAACTCACTTACAGTTTCTCTCCGTGAATTTTACTTCTAGTAATTCGCTATTTCGGGTTAAGGAATATTTCCACTGCACCAAGTTACAACAATCAAACGAGCAAACACACAAATCTACGAATTGCTTCAGCGGGGCGCTATAACCCAATGCCCATCTCCAAATTTCTTATTACAGCACCATTTTTCTAAGTATAACTCGGCCGGAGTTCGAACCAGTGACCTCTAGAATCAGAGGCAGATGCTCTAACCACTAGGCCACCGGAGCGGTCCGCATCATCAATGTAATATTTATATTGACATATGTTTGATGAAATCTTATTTTCAATAACATTTTATTGCTGTGTTTTCACTTTATTTTTAGTATGATAATCCATCAACCTAATTCATGTTTACTTCACATTGTTGAAGTATTTGTGTGATTGTATGACTTGTCGCCATAGGATAGACGTAGAAAATACCCAGGTGTTTCCACCTCAACTATATATTTGCTTCATTATATAATATTATCTTCACTCAGGCCTATGGACATTTATGAAAAACAGTAAAGTCTTTTTTATCTTTGGTTCACATTCATTGAATTCTCATTCTTTCTAAATTCTTTATAAGATTTGTAACGATATAAGATTATATGAAATTATATTGTGTTGATAAATACAGGAACAGATTATGCTGTTTAGACCATGGAACCTCACAATTTCGAACACTTGTGAAGCAGGAATCCCTCATAAATCGTATTATTTTGTCGATTATGATTTTTCCCAATTTGAATGTTTAAATCTTTTTAATAATAATAATAATAATAATAATAATAATAATAATAATAATAATAATAATAATAATAATAATAATAATAATAATAATAATCGTAACAACAGAATGATTCACAGCCAACGTTGAAAAGGGGATTCAGCTTTCTCAGTGTGGGTAGAATACGCACTTTCCTCAAAATTATCAAAAAAGGCAGATATAGAGAATTCGGAAGAAACAAAAAGAAGTTTACAATATTAATAACTTTCATGCAATGACAGATTTTTACTTGAATAATCTCTCAAGGATATAATTGATTTGCCCTGGAAATCGTTTCATTTGTCTATTATTAGCCAATCCAGGTCAAAACGTGATGCCCACAAGTCATGTACACAGAAAATCAAAAAAATGAGAGACCGTTTGATTACACTAAGTGCGGCTCAAGATAATGGGGATGGAGGTTCAGAGGTCAATGGATTGTTGAAAAACTTATAAAGCTTTAAAGGCGACTCCAGTGCAGACCATACAAGATTCGTTTGGCGGAATATTAGCGTTAGGTTGGAACCATAGCGTTCTTGAAGTGGATGGGTATGGCCATGATTACTGCGTTTTTGATGGGGATAAGCATTTGAAAACACCATCCTCCAGATATACTGTATAGTTTTTGTTTTTCTCCCCATATGATTTAAGTACATCATGCTCTCAATTGGAAATAAGGTAAAATTAGCTATGGAGGAAACTCTCTGTATATCATGTCAATCATTACTGGAACAGACAGATATATTGTAGTTTCTTACCATTCTTTCCAATAATTTTGTCCAGAATTCCCTAAGTGTCCAAGTTTCAAGGAGCAATCTTTATTAAAACAAAAGGATAGATTTTAAAGTAAACTTTAAAATTAAAAGTCAGTCATCGAAATATTTAAATGGACTGAAGTTCCAGAGAAGAAAACGTAAAATAGATACAGAGAAATATAAGTAGTACAAGATAGTTTTTACAAAATGTTTGTGCAGCTAATACAACCTACCAACTTCTTGTCTCTCAAGATTCCGAGAACTTGAACGAATACGATAACAAGGACAAATTATATTTAACAATTCCACTTTGGTAAACAAAGAAAACAAATGAGCCACTGTGATTTTAGTAGTTTATCTTCTTCCCTATTAGATAAATGTAACAGCACATTTTAATTTCCCTATAAAGATATCATCCAAATCTTAGTGGCATGGCAGCTCCTGGATAAGTATTCAGATTATGCGTGGAGTAAGTGTTAAGGGTATTGTGAAATACGTCAAGTGCTTGCCTACTGACGTATTCTGTGTGCGATTATTTATGCTTGAGCACAACAAAAGTAAATTACAGTCAATTCATTATGGCATAAGTTTATGATTTTTTTATGTCAATATTCTGAGTACTGATAATTGTATTAAAATCTAAAATCAAGTGGGTGATTAGATTGGATGCCTTGGACCATTAAAAAAAAACAATTTATTGATGAAGTGATCGAAACAAATCGTTCAAATTTTATCATTTTTTTTTTTTTGTTTCTATCATCAACAACAATGGCATTTATCCTAGCGAGTCCACGTTTCGTTCAAACGACAAAAAAGAGTATTTATAGCCAGCAGTTTTCTTTGATTTTTCGCATCCCATTTATGTATTAGGACAGCTGGGGGGGGGGCTCAGGTCGCGTTCTCTCTAGAAAACATGAAATTAGCCGAAAGCGCGCAGTTGTGACATGGCGACATTTTATGATTGAAAAAAAAATCAAGAATATTTATCTTCTCATTTGTATTAACCAATTAAAATTATTTCGTCGCTTTAATTCGCAGATGTTACTGTTCTTACTTACTGGACATCGTACGTTGCCATTTCTCATATTACATGGTCAACTGGTCTTCGATCTTGAGGACTTTGTTATTTTTAAATATTTGTTTTCTACATCCATTAAAGGATTAGTGATACAAGCAAACTGTACGGGACAGACTATTCGAAACTAATACAGCCAGATGTATCAATTGTGAATCAGCTAAATGGAGAATTAGATAGAATATGTGCGCAAATACTCATTGGCAACTTCACATTCCCATGGATCATATCTCGAAATTATGCCATTTGGACCGCCCCGGCTATTGACGAAAAACTGATTGAATAAGAAGTTGAGAATGAATCAAAATATTTTTTTTCATTCGTAACTTCTTGGTCAATTCTACAATCCACCAAACGTAGAAATAACCAAGGTGGACCGAATTAATTGCGATTTATTTTTTTTTATTTTGGTGTAGATTCCGACGAATAAATTAAATTAACACGCCAGCATACTGCTCAGGAATATATTTATTCTCTTAATCGGGATGGTTTGCATGCGTAAATATCGGCTCAGATGTAGGCTTATTAAAAATACCATTTGTGTGAAACATTTTGCTTCTCAACTTCAAACAAATAGGGTTATACACAATGTTGCATAATTTTGGTAACCTATGCCTCTATCGCATAATTTTGGTGAATTTCGCGTTTCGATAGGGAACGCGCTCTGACTTCTCAACAAAATTGGACAAAGATGTAAATGAGATGGGAAACGAGGAGCCTCAAACTAATATCAATAGAATATTGAAGTATGTTTTCCTATTTATGATTTGTAATTTTGCCATAGCATGTTCACTGGAATCCGACATAGATTGGGAATCTCTTGTTCCTTCAAAGAAAGGCTTACTTTGTGCGTATCCCGTTAGATTCTTTGACAAGGTTAAACGAGAAGTCATTAGTCTACATAACGTGGCCCATATTGCCGAAATATAGGTCACAGCGCGATCCCCGGAAATGTACCTAATGGTCTATCTCATTCTCCATACAGGTGCACTACATTTTCCACAAACATTGTGAACGAGACCAACTTTTACCTTTAAAATGACAATCTTGCCCTTTCGTAAAGATTCTCAGACGAAGGAGAAGTAGGATAGAACGAGAAAAATAAAAATATGGGGAGAAATCATGTTCTTACCTTGACGATGCAAACATGTTGAAAACTAAGTTGTGAAAGCTATATTATTCGCTATGCCTGGATGTACTACAATAAATATCAGGTGTTTAAATAATCCGGGAGTTGATTACTCGTCCGCGTGTTGTAATCAAGGAAGTTACATGCTGTGGTTTTCGTCTGTAGTCTATTGCACGAGGGAACGTTTTAGGAAAGTTACACGTCTAGAGGGAAGCGGCCTTTAAAAACTGATTTGAATGCTAGACTTTTAAAGTAATTTAATTTCCGCCTTCCGTTTCTCCGTTTGTCTGTTTATTTTTAAATACTGCGTAGAATGTTTATAATTATCAGACAATTAACTTTGTATATCGGAAGAAAACCCAAGTAATTTTATTTTCCGAAAATATTTATCAGTCATGAATATGCCTTTACGCCGAACGGTGCATTATATAGCCTTCAGAACATGATGGGGTCTTTTCCGTCAGGGATTGGAAACAAAATATTACAGTAGCCACCTTTAAACGTGTTTACAAAGTAAGCTCATCCGGGGCGGGACCAAGGTATCAAGGGCCTAGGGCTAATACGTGGAAAGGTCTTAAGAAGTAGGTACGTATTCGAAAAAAAAGGCCAACCAGATATGAGGCCTAAGGCTATAACCTTATTAGTCTATGGATTAGTCCAAACCTGACGTCATCTGTGCGTCACACACCAGCCTGGCATCCATTATGCGCGATTCGATTGAGATAACAACATGGACGCTTTAGATAATTTCTCTTACTGAACATGGTGAAATTATTCCATATACTTATTGTAATGTTTTTCTGATAACGATTTTTTCCGATGGTCGTGAGATCAAATAACTATTACCCAGCAACCATCTTTCATTTTTGCATAAAATTAAAAGATGTAATTTTTACTTATTATATGATGGGTTGGTGTCAAGCTGTCAGTCATTGACTGCAGGTGGGGTGGATTCATATGACTTGGGTTGTTTTCACCGACGTCACGATTGTGTACGCAAATAACCACAATGCAATGCACGCGTACTTTGCCCTACCATTTTGTTCCTTACAAACCTTTATTAACACAAGTCATCATATATATTCAAGATAATAATATAATTTGATTGTCGATAAGGATATTTACTTAATCGAAATGATACCTAGATTATACTTAAAATTATGTGCCCCTATAGCAAGAAAATAAAAATAAAACTCTAAGTTTACCGGGTTATATCGAAAACAGAAGAGAGAAGTTGAACCGTTATTGTGCATCTGCAGTTATTATTTTTTATACAAACAGAAAATGTTGTCTTTTTGTAATGAAAAAGTATTTTGTATGGTGTCCCTTAGCTTGTCACCTTGAAAGAGTATTTCCGGACAATGATTTTCGTGATAAAAAAAAAAACAGTTACGGAAATAAAATTTTATAGCATTTGTATTATGCCAGAACTTTTTTTGTACAAATACTTTTTCCGAAAATGTGTGCTTGTTCCAAAGACAGCTGACAAACCAATTTGAATTGTGTATTTGTGATGGAAA